AAAAAAAAGTCAAATATCAATAATGTCTCGATGAGTCTTTTCCATAGCGTGAGGAAATAACCACATTTTGACAATAGAATACGTACTTTTATTGTCTATACAATACCACCAATTACAACGTTTGTGGTGCTTGGGTGTTCTGAAGGAGGTAATTTATTTAGGACACTCATTAACGAAGACGCTTCCAGTATGCAATTCCTGGCTCGGGTATTAGAGGGTTTTTGTGCACTTGTACAATTTTTTTGGTGTAGGGCGATGTTGTATGTTAATAAAGAGAGGAAACTAAAAGTATACGTAGCAAAAAACACTTCAAAGAAACTATCGACATGCGTTTTTTTTTCTGAGGTCATAATTAAGTTAAGTGATAGTGTCAATTGTTTCTGAGCTTTAAGCTGGAGCTTTAGGTATGTCAAGGTGTATGTGGTAATTTTGTATAGTGGGTGTGCTATGGCTGCTCACAACTGAACAGGATTCATTATTGGACATACTTTATGTTATGAACGTATGTATAGGGCAGTGGTTGTACCACTGGTGATTGAGGGGTGTTGTTCCAGTTTGTTTACAATAAGGGGTACCATGAGAGTATCACGCGTATGTTACTGAGAAATACTTGAATGAAATAACTTGTAGTGGTTATGTAGTATTCATGGCTCTCAGTAAAGATAGGGAGGTTATATGTTGTGTCGATTCTGGATAGCCGTAACGTGTACATGCATGGTCTAGGATAGTGGTTCAGTAAGTCGCTGCTAGGAATGATTAAATGGTTGATTTAATGGAAATGGTGAAAATTCATAGGGATGGATTTTATTCATTCTTAACCTAAACAAATCAGGTAAAACCTAATGTATATCTTCTTTCAATTATAATTCACCTGTTGGAATTTTGCAAAGAAAGACTTGTTAGCAGTGTAAAATTTTCTGTCAGTGAGCACTTCTTTTCATGACCTTAAGGTAGGAGGTGGTTGAAATAGGAACAATCATACTTGGTTGTAAAGGCAAAAATAGTAAATAAGATCTATAGTGGCTGGCAGATCTCCTTAACTGATGGTTTTGATATTGGTGGTTCTAGAAGTGTTCTGTACTGATAAAGTAGTGATATCTCAAGAGAAGATGAAAGGAAAATTGCTTGCTATAACAACTATGGTGGTTGGTAGTTCGCAGAGATGGTAACCACGTTGTGGGGATTGTAGGAGGTTGCTGAAGTCTTCTTTAAGTAGCAGAAATAGTCATATATGTACTTTTATAATTCTAAAGGAGTGCTATTACAGTTGTAGTGCATGAATGCAGTTCTAAGAGATGATATCTGTGTTAAATGGGTTTGTAAACGTACCCCGTACGTATAAAGTTACAAAAAAAAGCGACGGAAAGAGTACTTGCTAATACAGAGTTATAATCATTATGGTGAGGCTAAAGGTGATTGCTGTTACAGGTAAGTGGTGATTCCGTGGTGAGAACTTAAATTTAGTGCTTGCTATATTACAGTCTACTGGTTGTCAGTTCTTAGAGATGTTATTAAATGTGGTATTAGAACACTGAAAATTAAAAAGATCTGTTTCAGCCTCTAAGTGCCAATTCAGCCCTCACTGGGCCAAAGTCTGATTCAGACCCTCCTGGAGCAATTCGAGCCCAATTTAAGCCAAAACAGCCCAATCAAAAGGCTATTCTAGTCCACACTGGGACCCATTTCAGCCCTTGGGTCTAAAACACCCCTAAGTAATGGGACTGTATTTGTCCTGATCAAGGGAAGCCAAGTTAGACTCAAAAATAGGACTGTATTTTACTCGCCCAAACGGCCCCATTTTTAGTGCTAAAACAGATTCTCATTTACATTGTGCTTGTGCTCTGAAGGAGAAATAGTCATACACAGTACTACCTGAGTTCATAAAGTTGGCAATTGTGTTGTTACACGTGGTTTTAGTAGTACTATGGTGCAGTAAAAGTGGTTTGCAGTTTTTGGAGGTGGAACCTTTGTTGTTACATTTGGTTTTAGTAGAGCTATGTTGTAGTAATAGTGTTTTTTTTTTGCAGTTTATGGAGGTGGTACCATGGTTTTTGCATTTGTGGTAAAACTTTAAATGGTGAAGATAATGGTACTATTACATTTATAGTGGTGGTTTCAGTCCGTTTATAACGGTGAGGATATATTAAAGGTGATATCTCTGGCTACTTAAGGTGGCTGAACAAAGTTTTGGCAGGTTGTGAGTATATGTCATTTGCCAAATCATTGCAAGAGAAAGGTTCCAGCTCACAAGCTGAAACTTGGCAAGTGAAAAATATACTGATAAAAGATTTTGATTGACAGATAAAATTTGACGTTTTCGTGGTTTCCATGGCAACATGAACGATTGAATACAACCTTAAAATTTCACCTTTGCTCAGTTTACATAAAATTCGCTTATTATATTTTCCTATAAACTTGCACACAGCTTACTATAAGTAATCATTATCATTTGAAACTTATTTGACCAAATTTTAACAGACGGGCTTTTAGATAACAAATAACATAATTGTACTGTAATTATTAAATGTGTCACAAAATTCGTCTGTTCAACTTTCATTTTAAAGTTCTCATTATTTAAAATACGATAAAGGTAAAATTCCAGCCAAATATCACAAAATTTTAATGAGTAGATTTTGAGAAATCGTTTTCTGTGTACCATTGCTGTGAACCATTGTTTGTCTAATTAAAAACACGCGCCGTCGCGCGAGTTACCGCTGACCGCCTGCAAAACTGCGTTCAGCCACCTTAACAGGATGTCAGTGGTGGTACCTATGTTGTTATGTGGTCATACCAGTCCTCTGAAGAAGGAATGGTCAGGTTCAATGGTTAATTCATGGTGTTTGCAATTCTTAGATGTGACTATGTTGTTACAAGTAGTTTTAGCAGGTACTATTGATGAAAGGGCAAGAATCGAGGTATTTGTTAATCCTATTACGTTTCTGGCACCTACCAGGTTTAGACGTGGTTCTTATGTTGTCACCCGGGGGTTATGGGAGTCTTTTGCATAAGGAACAATAATTATAAAGGTACTTGCTATTACAGTTATAGTGCTAACCAGTCCTTTGAATTAGTAACTGTGTCGTTTGCTAAGTAACCCTGAAAATTAAAAAGATCTGTTTCAGCCCCAAAGTGCTAATTCAGCCCTGCAGGCCAACGTCTGACTGACCCCCCCCTGGAGCCACAATTTATGCCAAAACATCCCTTTCAGAAGGCTATTCCAGCCCACGCTGGGGCCTATTTAAGCCCTTGGGTCCAAATCAGCCCTATGTAATTGCACTGTATCAGAACCAAATTATACTGGTTGCAAGTTCTTATAGATGGTACCTATGTCAATACATGTAGTCGACGCAGAAGTACTACTTGTAGAAGGGATGTCAAAAGTAATGGTGAAGGGGTTTATGCATGGTTGGCTGGTTGGCGGTTCGTAGAGGTGTCACCAGTGTTTTCATATTTGGTTTTAGTGATACTCTCTATATATAAATGGCGAGGATAGAGGTGCTCTTGCTATTACATTTCTACTGTCTGCCAGGCTTATACATGGCACCTGTGTTACCACATGTGCTCGTATATAGAAGTATTCTGTAGTAAGACATGGTGGTTTGTGTTTCTTGCAGGTGGCAACTGTGTTGTTGCATGTGATTTTAGTAGTACTATGTTGTAGTAATATTGTTTTCCAGTTTTCAGAGTTGGTACCAGTGTTGTTACAATGTCACTATAACAATGTTGTAGTAATAGTGGTTTTCAGTTTTTGGAGGTGGTGTCTGTGTTGTTACATTTGGTTTTAGTAGTGGTATGTTGTAGTAATTGTGGTTTACAGTGTTTAAAGGTGTCACTGTGTTGTTACATGTGATTTTAGTACTACTATGTTGTCGTAATAGTGGTTGGCAGTCATCAGAGGTGGCTCCTGGTGTTGCTGCTCGTGAGTCGTAAAATTACAGTGCAGTAGTAATGGTCATTATGGTGAAGATGAAAGCAATTGCTCTGTTGGTTGACAGCATTTGAGGTTGTATATGTGGTGTACATGTGGATTTGAAGTCCTCTGAGAAAAAGATAAGCACTATAATGGTACATAAAGGTTAAAGTGATTACTGTTAACTACAGTTTCATTGGTTGGCCGTTCTTGGAGGTTGTAATGGTTTTCTGTAGTAGGAATTGTGGTATTTCTTACACTACGAGTTCTAGCAGCTATCATAGTAGGTGATATTTGTAAGTGGTACTTGTGATTGCTTGATAATAAAGTAGGCGTTGGTTTGTTATTACCTTGTGAACTAGAAAGAGCAGTTTGATGAAGTTTAATTCAGTTCTTATGGTGATACTTGGTACTTAACTGATCTTTAGAAATGTAACAACATGACGTTAAGAACGCTGATTTAACAAAAAAGGATAAACTGCCTTTATAGTAAGAAACTGGATCTGTACGTGCTACGGTTAGAGTACATCGATAACTCAAAGAGGGCTTGTTCTCATGCACAATGTCGATTTTTAAACTTTAGCATTTACCTGAAGACAGAGCTATGAACTTTACGTTAACGTTTGCACGTTTCTAAACTTTCTCTTCGGTCGCGAAAAGGAAGGCAGCTAGGATTAACGTTTGCGCTAGCTGATTTAGATAAAGTTCGCGTTAGCTAATTTACTGCAGCTCTTTATTGCTATCAAGAAAGTCAACTGTTTTCACGGAGGAAAGCATGACATTATAGTCATGAAACGAGACGAAAACTTCGTTTATCGCAAAGAAATGTAGAACTCCAACGGTTCACGAAGGAATGTGGGCGGAAAATGATGAAGATTCAGGCAAAGCCCTAGCGCGAAATAAAGTGGCAGTGCTCGGTTAACGTCAGACTTCCATTGAAACCTTCTTAGGTTCAGTATATCGATCTGAAAATAGCCCTTTTGCCCATTTTATATATTATTAGCTTATGGATGAGTGAATTAAAGCTTTGTCTTGCATGAAAACTCTATAATGTGAAAGGGGCCTCATTTTGCAGCACTAGTCTCTAGCGTTATTGAGAAATTTCAATGCATCGAATGTGATAATTCGTCCCAAAGTTATTGTCCCAAAACTCTTGCTGAGCAGCACGATAACGAATAGCAAACTCAATTTCCAGATCAACCTCCAACTCCATGGGTAGGGCCATGCGAAAACTGAACTGCTCCGTTTTTCCATCTATGTTTGCACACACATAATCCGCCCAGACATCTCGGTAGCTGGCCCACTGGTCTAGCGTGAACCTTACTGTCACCTCCTTAGCATAACATAAGTTTGTCACTCGAATAACACCAATAATGATGGAATCACAGCACGATAGGCTTTCGAGACAAACGTTTTCTGAAAAGACACGCTCGAGGAACGCATCAGTTTTACATGGTTGGACAAAACTTGGAGAGAGGTATTTCATTTTCCGCCGGATACTGTACATATGTAGACCACAGTTTGTATCGCTGGTCGTGAAATTCATCACGGCTTCTTCCAATTCTCCGTTGCTCGACGGAATGGTTTTCACGGTCGCAAGCTCTAAACCGGCGGTGTCTGCGAAGGAAACTTTCTTCTTCATCGTTCGCGTGGGCGTACAGTTCCCGCTCGGATGAGACATCTGATTTCCGACATGAAAACGGCCCCTGTAGTTGCGGTTTGCTCACGCTTTACGTTAACGCATTTGTAAGCAGCTCGCTTGCTGTCATATGGGAAATTATGTGACGTCATCTTCAGGAAGCTTCAAAGTCCGTTGTTGATTGGACGTTAACAGTGCCCTTATTGTTGGTTGTCATTATTAATCTAGCTTACTTTAGAAAAAGTGCTGTCCGATCTGTCTGTATATTTGCTGATTATTTAGTTCCAGTGACTAATGGAGCCGCACACACTTGCCACGTGGGTGCATAAATTCAAAAATATCATGCTTGTGTGCTCTCTTAGAAATCCTACAACTGAAATGAAGTCCAGTGTAGAGGCTCGATTGAGAAATTGATAACTGAGAATTGGCTAAAATATGAAATAAACTGAGAAATTTAGGTTCCTGAAAGCTGTGGAGACCTTTGATCCAACGAATAAACTTCTGGATGATTACTTGGGTACGGAAAAGAGTACAGTGGAACCCCGTTAATGCGACCACCGTTGGGCCATAAAATCCTGGTCGTAATAACGAGGTGGTCGCATTAACGGGGTCTTCAAAATAATAAAATGAGTCAATGTTTTTTATGCTTGGTTTGAAAGAATATGGCCGTAATAACGAGGTGGTCTTATAAACGGGGTGGTCGTAAGGCGGGGTTCCACTGTACTGAGAAATCGCCAAAAATCTAACAAATAACTGAGTTTCAAGGATCCCCAAGCAGACGCAAAAGGTAGAGATTGCTTTACAAGATTTTTCGTTTCACAGTCAAGTTAGGACAATTTTTAAGTCCTAGTTTAGTGTAGTCGGCAATTTCGTGCCTTTTGTCATGCCTTATAAATGGGCCTTTGACCTTAAAGACTCTTAAGTATCTTTTTCCCTGCAACTGATATGATAGTGCGGGGTATGGTAGGGTCTCTATCTGGGGTTAACCATGTGCAGTAAAAAGGTCAAAAATTGGAGTTTTTTTGGAGCGAAAATTGAAAAATTTTGATCCTTTGTAGGATTAAAATCCTTAGACACAGCGTATAAAAAGTTACCCAACAAATAAAATTTAATGCCATTTAATTAAACTGTAGCCCATAGATGCAGTATTGATGGGCACTTGATCTAAATTACTTAGCTTTTTGCCTCCCCTAACAAATACATCAATACTCGGCTTCACTTCGCTGCTGTTTGGGCGAAGTGGTCGATTGCATAACAACTGTATTTACGATTAGAAAAGAACTTTTTCAGAGTGCTCTTGAAAGCGTCGAGATTCTGACTTTTTTGTGTCTTCGGATCCTACCAAAGTTTTTTTCTTATTTATCATTTCCTTCCCGGAGTCGGTCCAAAGATGTGCGATATTTTAAATGGGGGTAACATATCTCGCCCTTCTTACAAAACGACTGCGTGGGAGGCCAGTCAGACCTCTGACCTTAAATGTGTTTTACATGAATGGAAATTGAGTTTCAACTGTTTAAACATAAAAATTAATTTCTGTTAACAGCAACGGAAAGAACTTGACTATTAGCTGTATAATAGCCAAAAATGTTAATTTCTGTTAGTCGTGCAATGAAAAGTACCCCTGTCCCCTGCAGCTGTAAAGGGTTTTGCCTATAGGCTTACTGCTTAAATGCCGGTAGGAGCCTATTACGTAATAGGCTCCTCAGCTGGGTGTGACTAATGTGTTTACGTCTACCACTATTCTGCTTTGGTTAAGGGAAAAAATATTTTCATTAAGTATCAGCGGCATCTTTGCTAAGTGCAATCACTAAAACTAATCAGGACTACCGGACTTGAACTTGGTTTTGGGAAAAAAGCCATCAAAAGGTCTTTCTACCGTTTTGTTCCGGTTATTTATGCTCGGAGGCGTCGATATTAAGAGGAACGTTACAGGAGCAATTTTCTACTAGATCTTGCCCTTTCGCTCAGTCTAAAAATATTCAATTTATTAGAGCTGGCAAGTTGGTGTTGAAAGCAAGCATCTCGGGGTCAACCGAGAGGTACAGCAATCATTGTTTTGACTCGAAAATAACTGGAGTGAAAACAAATTCTGTCAAACGGACAGAAAATGAGAAATGACAATCATCGTTGACGTTTCACCTGAGGAGCTAATCAGTATGTGTTGTAAAATAAATATTATTACTTCGAATAAATTAAATAAGCTTCCAATAAGAGAATGAAATGCTTTTTTTCTTTTCGGTAAGAGGGGGATGGAGAGGTGAAGTGGTTAATTGTTTTTTTCCGAGTTTTTTTTTATAATCTGAATATTGAAAGTTATATTTGAGCCCTGTAAGTGCAAGTACCAATTTGTAAATCGAAAGTTTCAGTTCAAACGCTACATCGAAAGTTTTTTCATTATGCATTAATACAATGAGTCTAATCTGAGCGCAGCTAGTGCTTTATTTTCCCTGCAGGTTAGAAAGTCTGCGTTCAATACTTTCGCACAGGTGCAAACTATTTGGATTTTAAATTCGGCTTGTTTAAGCGTCGAGTTTTGTCACGCTACTGAACATTTTAAGGCAAAGCACAGCCGGAGAAGAGCAATACGGTTGTGAGTGATGTTTAACTGCTATTTACTGACTATGAAGTCGTCTTTCTGCGCACGATCTTCGCTGCGATTTTCTGGCGTTTACTGATGATTTTATTGCGATTTTCAGAATCTTTATGGACAATTATACCGTAGGGCACATACGATTTATACAGGTCAACCAAGTGACTCAGGATAATATAACAGTATAAGGAAATTTTCGGCCCTTCTGGAGACTAAGTACATTGGAACGTTCCTCGATATAACGAACATCGACCTAACGAAACATCGCCGCATAGTGAACAAACTTTGCCAGTCACTTAGCCCTTCGTTATATCGAGGTTCTACTGTAAGTTCTCAGATAAACTTTCAAATTTTTGACAATCAGGTTGGCGCGTCGGGGGAAATTTTTGTGGTAGCGACAAAGTGGCTGTAAAATCGTCGCTAGTGTATTTTTCACCCCCACCTAAAATCGCTCAAAAGACTGTTGTCACCTACTGTGTACACAGGCGTCATAAAATTAGCGAAACATGTGAGGAAAACCGTTGCGTGCCAACACAGTTTTTTAAGTCGCCTGTAAGTCGATACTCAGCAAATAGCAGTGAGACGTATTGACGAACAGGTCTAAGGTGAAAGTCTTAGGAGAAACAGCTGATAAATCATTCAATATCTTTACACCATTGATACTGAATTTTGAAAGTTGGCCCAAAGGAGCAGGGCCACTGAAATTGTTTCAATTGTGGGTTTTTAAATTGTTTTCAGGGTAGCCATTTTTTGCGCAGCTCTTCCCCCGTAAATGTCCGTCACTGACGTCCGTCATTTACAAGTTAGATAGTTTTACTGAATACCTCTCTAGCTTACAACGCTCAACATCTTTAAAATTCGAATATTAAGCGTGTGTGTTTATCTCAAAAGGACAATGACGTTCTTTTTTTGTTAGAGCATTGTCGAGTCAACTGTAAACATTCACTGAATATTGGCTTGCACCTTCGCTCTCTTTCGATTTTGTTAAGGGCGAAAAGTCTCTGTTAATTTTCTTATTTATGATATTAGCTCTTTCTATTCGAAAAAAGCACTTTACGGAAAGGTTTCCGATTTTTTTCCGCGCAGCTGATCATGAATTCGCAGCAGTCAGGGTTCACCTCATTCTTAAAGGTCACTTGCAAAACTATACTCGATGCATTTCACGTGGTAATTCTTCCAACTGTTGTTATCCCAAAACTCCTGGTTCGATACGAGATAACGGATGGCGAACTGCATGAAACGATTTACTTCGAAGTCGATCGGGACCATAATACGGAAGCTGAACTTGTCAGTTTTTCCGTCCGAACAGGAAGACATGTAATCTGCTCTGATATCACGAAAAGTCTCCCACTCATCAAGCGTGAATCGCACTGCAACTTCTTTAAAATAAGATAAATTTTCAACTCGAATAAGTCCGGCAACGATGAAGTTTTCACAGGCAATGTTCTCGAGGCAGACATTCTGACTGTGCACACGTTCCAAAAATCCGTCTTTTCTCGAAGGCGCAACGAAACAAGGCGCCAAACTTTTTATGATTCGCCTCTTTGGCAAAATGTTGCCATTTATATCCAAACTGTCTTGAACTTCACCACAAGCTTCGCATATACTTTCTTCACTGCTCGCCGGAGTTATGTTTTTTACGAATACGAGCTTGAGCCCAACCAGATCTGCAAAACAAACTTTTTTCTCTCGTGAATTTTGGCTTGCTCGCAAAGCGCATTTTGCTTGCATCTCTCTGCTGTTGACCATCCGACGAGATGTTCGTGTATGGACGCACAAATCGTGGTCAAAGTTCAAGCACTTTAGTTCCAGTCTTTTTTTATCTGTTTGCACGTGCAAGTCAGATGAAAGCCTCGGTAAGCTGAACAATTACCGTAAACAAGTTTTAGAGCTATAAATCGTACGATATTTATACGGCATGTCATTATTATTCCTAATACGAGCACTCATACTGATTCATTTCTCCACCAACGGTAGTTCCTTCGTTTTTTTATACTAAAGATTGACTTAATTTCCACGCTTATACTACTAAACTTGTTGTTTTGTATGACTTTCCAATGCCACAAAAAGTTAAGTCGGAATTCCTCTACTTACAACGTATTTAGAGTCTGTGTAAGATATTCCTCACGATTGCGTTATTTTTGCTTTAATAGCTGGCGTAACTTATCCATACAGCAAAAAATATGTATATTTACTCATGAGTGACGGATTCAATTTTAGCACTGAGTTATACTTCTAAGCTGCTCGTTGTAGCTTGATGTCTAGTTGAGTCTTTTTTTTAGAAATTGCTAACGTTTGATAATCTTTCAGTTTTTGTACAGTCGACGTAAGTCGTGTTTCGTCAGTGATGTTGTTAATAACAGGTCGCAATCAGCAATACTGTGTTTTAAATAATTAACATGCATGGGACGGTTATTTAAACGAAAGTCTCTGACTTAAACAGGAGGTAACTGACAATCATCGGACCATCAATATCTGATTAAAAGAGTTATCATAAGGCAGAAGAAAACTCTACTCAGCACATTGTGCCTTTTTGACAATAATCACGAAGGGTAGAGGATGGATGGCCAAACTGAAAGTGAATTAGAACGGTTTAATTTTTGTTACGGGCGAAATTCCGTTTTCACAACCGACCCTGAAACTATTTAAAAGTACTTACAAGTTTTCCCTATTGAGTTCCTCCCATAAATGAAATGGGCCACACTTAGCAGGCACCAGCTGGATCAGAACGTTTCCTTAACTGCGTGGCTTTTCTCTAACGTTGATCAACCACATGAAGGAACTCATAAATTTTGTGACGAGTTGCCCGATTTTCAGAATGTCTTTCAGTCAAGGTCAATAAAACGTCATGAAGGCCGTGCGTACATCCATGGAGCAGGACACAAAGCACTTGACGGCTGCGAGTTGGGCTAGGAAACTCCACGCTTTTTATCACATGAATTCGTTTCTTCTTTAACGAAAAGCTTCAAAGCCTCATCACATAAAGCCGTAGAGAAATGAAAAATCTAAGGTAAAAATCTTTAAAAATCCGTAAGAGGCAGTGCATATATCCGCACTGCATGTCACCTCTGGTCCATTTGTGACGTCACGCAAGAAAATTATGCACCTGTTGTCACGCGCCCAGTAATCGTGCACGCGAAAGCGTCGCAGGAAGACAAATGCTGCCATCATCGTTTCAAGGTTTGTTTGGAATGAAAACAAGCGCTCGGTCATGAACTGTGGGCACCAAATTGAAGTACCGATTCAGTATGCGACGAACACGAGAACGCTATGCCTAGTATGCGTACGAAACCTGCGAGTAAGTGGATATCCTCGGGGACACATGCCGCTTTTTACAGATTTGAATGTATTCGCATCAATAAAGTCAACCCTCTATTAATCGGTAACCCTCCATTAACGCAGTCACTTATGATTTTCCCGGTGGCTTTCAATATTCATTGTACTGAATTTGTCCTCCATTTAGCGATCACCCCGGCCCTAATTAAGGGGACGCCAGTTCCTAATGGATAGTTTTATCGCGTTTTAAGGCCCATTAAACGGTCGCCAAGTAGTTTGAAAGTGCGCCAAACAAAGCATGCATCCCTTCTTCTAACAACTCATAAAACATAAAATAACATATAGTCAAAGAAACACGACGTGAATCAGCAAAAAAAGAAAAAAAATGGGCGCACGAAGTGAGCCTAGCGGTGGACAGTGGACTGGTCTATGTTGAGTGCAGGACAAAACTAATCTTGGCGCTAGATTATAGAAGTTTGACCAGGCTGTTAAATACCGTTGGCGATAAGACTAGGAGGAAATCAAGAAAAGAACGACCCCTTCATAATACGATGAATAAATGGAAGATAAACATAGCAGACTGTGGACTAACGACAGCGACAGGAACTAATGTGGTCAGTGATCCGCGTACGTTGTAATTACAGCACAACTTGACGCCCGTACGCAACAAGTACAGGCAAGTGTAAAAACACCTTTCAATTTGCAATACAACAATTTTTTGCGCTACAAGTGGAACGAAAATGTTGTACGTATACCATTAATCGGCTCCTGACGTACGCTTGGTTTTGAAATTGTTGACTTTGTGGCGTTTAATTACATTGAGCTTACACTGAAATTTTAGCTGTAAGTCAAACCAAGTTGGTCAGCACTTTTTAACATCCATCGAAAGGCCCTTGGACACCTTATGAAGTTTACATAACGTAGTATTCCTTTTCGTTTTCTTCACAGTTTTGCGGGTGGTCAGTAGTAACTCGCGTGACCGCGCGTGTTTTTACTTAGACGAACAAACATGGCGGCAAAAAAGCAATGGTACACAGAAGACGATTTCTCAAAATCTGCTCATTAAAATTTTGTCGTATTTGGCAGAATTTTTACTTTTATCGTATTCTAAATAATGAGAACTTTAAAATAGAAGTTGAACAGACGAATTTTGTGGCACATTTAATAATTACAGTACAATTATATTATTTATTATCTAAAAACCCGTCTGTTAAAATTTGGTCAAATAAGTTTCAAATGGTAATGATTAATTATAGTAAGCTGTGTGCAAGTTTATAGGAAAATCTAATGAGCGAATTTTATTTAAACTGAGCAAAAGTGAAATTTCAAGATTGTATTCAATCGTTCATGTTGCCATGGAAACTACGAAAACGTCACGTTTTACCTGTCAACCAAAATCTTTCATCAGTATATTTTTCACTTGCCAAGTTTCAGCTTGAGAGCTTCAACCTTTCTCTTGCCATGATTTGGCAAATGATATATACTCACAAACTGCCAAAACTGTGTTCAGCCACCTTAAGCACTGCGATTTACAGATTAGGGTTAAGCACTGCCTTTACTAATTAGGGTTAAGCACTACCTTTACTGATTAGGGTTAAGCACTGTTTCGAAACTGGTTAGGTTCGGTTGATGCTATCTGTACTTTAAATATTTCCTTATCATTCAACAAACCCTCAGTGGTTTAGTGGTTAGTGGATCATAAGTGTGGTGTATTGGCAATTTACTTTTAGGTCATGGATTCCAATCGTCTTACCCTTCATATCAATTTTTTTTTCTTTTAAATTGAAGAGACTTGCACTTTCATAAATGATTTCCAGCTTGAAATATCATCTAAGTGTGATATAAAAGCAGAAAACAGTTCTGCCTTGTGTAAAAATCATACAGGGGCACCCAATGGATCTGTTCCTCAAAATATCTGTTCTTCATACAAATTTTTGCTGGCTGGGAGATTTGGAAGGGAGTGTTGCTGGGAGAAGACAACTCAGGGTGTATTTGCTATTTGTACGAAACCTCTACCCCCACCCCGTCTACTAAAGGGGCGAATTTTGGCCTATGACCACACCCAAACTGGCCAGTAATGGACATACGTCTACTGGGAAACTTACTTTAAAGTACAGATAGCATCAACCGAACCTAACCTGTTTCGAAACAGTGCTTAACCCTAATCTGTAAAACGCAGTGCTTAACCGGCTAATCCAAAACGATGAGGAATACTACGTTGTGTAAACTTCATAAGGTGTCCAAGGGCCTTTCGATGGATGTTAAAAAGTGCTGACCGAGGATTTGTTGAATGGTAAGGAAATAATTAAAGTACAGATAGTATCAACCGAACCTAACCAGTTTCGAAACACTGCTTAACCCTAATCAGTAAAGGCAGTGCTTAACCCTAATTAGTAAAGCAGTGCTTAACTCTAATCTGTAAAACCCAGTGATTATTAAACCTGTTAAACCGGCTAATCCAAAACGATGAGGAATACTACGTTGTGTAAACTTCATAAGGTGTCCAAGGGCCTTTCGATGGATGTTAAAAAGTGCTGACCGAGGATCTGTTGAATGGTAAGGAAACAATTAAAGTACAGATAGCATCAACCGAACCTAACCAGTTTCGAAACAGTGCTTAGAGCGGTTTTCACTTGACTGTCGTAAAACCAAAACCAAAGTAAATACACTAGCCAACTAAAGCTAAGGGCGTAGTAACACCAAAACCAAACCAATTCCTCAATTACTTTCGACAGTCAAGTGAAAACCGCTCTAACCCTAATCAGTAAAGGCAGTGCTTAACTCTAATCTGTAAAACGCAGTGCTTGATGCATCAGTCAATTCCAGCTGCGCTCAGCACCCCCCCCGGGCTACCTGCGGGGCATTTGCCCGCTTTGTCAGTCCCGGGGGTGGGGCATTTGCAAATTTTGTGCTGCCCGGGGGCCGGGCATTTGCCAACCCCGGGGCCATTCCTGAGCTTTTGACACGCACGCGGTTTCCTATCAGAAAATAACTACACAGAGGATTTTACTGGGAAAGAAAGCAGATTGGCTCATCTGTCAAGGACAGGAAAAGTTGAAGAGGTTTGTGAAGGCATGTTCTTGATTTTATGCATGCATTTCTTCATTGCTTATCGAGCCAGAATTACATAGCGAAATCCGGGAGCCACCGACGTGAATCAACGTTTTTTGGTTATTGAATCAAATTTCTGTTGATATTATTTGCAGAACATCCTTTCATATTTATAAAACTATTCATAACATATAACTTGACAGCGGTCTATTATTTTAATGGCAATAATTTTACATCAATGCCAAAATAAACTGGTGCGTGTCGTTGCGGCGTGAAGTCTTAATTAGAATCATAGCTCTATTACAAAGGAAGACGTTAACTATGCGATCAATGAAAAATGTTGCAGTGTTTACGGAGGACGGGGGCATTTGTCCTCTTTTTTCGTCCCCACCCCGGGGGTTTGACAGCTCAAGAGTCCCACCCCCGGGAATTTGCCATCCAAGGCAAAAAAAATGCTAATGCCCGGGGGTCAGCCCGGGGGGGCGCTGGGCGCAGCTGGAATTGACTGATGCATAACCGGCTAATCCAAAACGATAAGGAATACTACGTTGTGTAAACTTCATAAGGTGTCCAAGGGCCTTTCGATGGATCAAGTCAAGTTGTGCAGTCTATTTCAAAAATGCGGCGCTTGGGGTCTGGACGCAGTATCTTGACGTCATAGGTGACGTCAGAGAGCAGTCAAATTCCTCAAAGATGGCTTCCATGGTAGTGAAGTAAATAAGCATCGTCGGGTGGCTGTTAATCAGAAATAAGACCAAAAAATGACCTAAAACTTGCAAAAAATCCTGAAGAAATGGGTACTGGAGCTAGTACAGCATCAACGCGGCAATGGACTGCCGCAGATGAGGACAATTCGACCGTTGTTCTTCAAGACGTGAGACCGCGTACTGCAGCGAACGAAAACCTCCCGCCTTCGAACGATATGACGGGCTTGACAAAATTAGTGGAAGCTAAAAACAAATTTATGAAAAGTAGAGAGAAAAACACGGCTTGCTTCCAAAAACAGGTGAGTAATTTTTACTTACAACTGCGAGAACTGATGATCGTATAGGCGAATCTACGCTCGTCACTGACCCGGTCGACACTGATCGCATGGGTGATGAGTGAACTTTTTTCTCTTTGATTTTATCGTTGGACTGGACTGTAAGACTCAACTTGTAACTGGGATATTCGCTGAGTAATAATAATCACTGTAGCCTATAAAATTCACTGTACAGCGTTACCGATCTTTGACGCAAAAGTTCTTTTGATAGACCAGATCGAAAAGTCGAAAAGTTTTAGTGACTTCTTGTAAACGTTGACTCACATGTTAGATGTTATGCGCCCCAGGGTTGGGAGGGGGGGCATACCCAGGTGGATTTGATATTTTAGGCCATTTTTATGTCAAATACCCCTTCCCTGGAGGTACATTTTGTTTGATTTAAAATGATACAAATTTTACAATGTATATTTCCTTATCACTCCCCCAGTCTTTCTTTTCCGCCTAGTTATGTCCCACGCTTTGCACAGAGGCATTTCTCCCAAAATCAAGCACCTCTTAAAGCTGTTTAGGCCTACATGGACTAATATTGAACAGTGAATGGGCAATGAGCATATGTTGACATGAAGCAATTTCCTGAAACAGCAATCGGGGTAATAGGGAGCTTAAGCAAAGATGTTTTTGAGCAATGCACGTCAACCGGAAGTGAGGCCTTCTCACTATATACATGCCTTGACGCCAACAAATTTGTATTGCTAAGTTTCTTTTCTCTTATAAAGACGATTTACTGTACTGAACTTGTGGGGTGCACTCTAAACTCACGAACTCACAAATTGTACTCGACAAATCATTGTTTTTATTCTCCTCGTGGTTTTCCAACGCGTCTCTAATATTTGTTCTATCTCTCACACACGCAAACCTATTGTCCTATCTCAAACGTCTCCGGTTGCAAAACTCGTGATCCTAGCCTAAACGTGCTTACGCAACTTCCGTTCATTACCCAAGAGTCTCAAACCAAACTTAACTGCCCAATCAGTGGCGGATCCAGGGGAGGGGATTGGGGAGCCCAGGTCCCCCCCTTATTTTTAGATGAAAATGAGGTCCGAAGGGCCGAAAAAAATTTTTTTGGGAGACCGTCCCCTCCCTTATCTCAGGGTCTGGATGACTGCCCCCCTTATCTGAAGGTCTGGATCTGCCACTGCCAATGATGCAAAAAGTCCACTTCCGGTTGACCTCCGTCGCTTAAAAACGCCGTTGCTTAAGCTCCCTAATGTTTTCAGGATGGCAAGCTGCGACTTGGTTTCAGGCTTGTGAGATCTTGTCAAACACCCCCACCCTCAGGATCTTGTGTTACGGCCAATCTTTTATTATTCCCCACCCATGGGAAAGGAAATACAGTCAAATGCCGAGGGTATGCCTTGCCCCTCTACCCTGGGGCTTAACATTGACTGGTGCATTAGTGTGGGTAAGATTTAATAGAGCCGAAAGCACTTACATGTACTGTATGGAATTGCACACACTTTAGGCATCCTGCAAATGTAGGTACTTGTTAAACAGTTTCGACTTTTAGATATTTCAAGCAACAGCAATTTGCCATCTGTCCTCTTTGAATACGTGTTAAAAGCTGTTATGACTTGTTGTGATGGTAAAAGGACTGAGTGGAGTCCGATTGGTTCTGTTATCATACAGGGTGCAAAGAAAATCATTTTTACAGCTTGCCCTTTGGGCAAGCTGAAGCTAGCATTTACTAGCCCAGACGTCATTTCAACTAGCCCCAAAAACGTTTTGTTCTTCTGTTATTCAAATTCCTCATAAAACATCACTTGCCCGTCGGGCAAATTAAAAACAGAATTCACTAGCCCGCTAGCAAAATCCACTAGCCCCGGGCTATCGGACAGTACTTTCTTTGCACGCTGTCATACTAGTGATTAAGCGAAATTACACATCCATCTCTCGTGGGAGTCCGACTTGCTTGATCACTGTACCTCATATCTGACAATTTTTATCAGGAGGGGGTACTTTCCATTCAGTTAATTAATATCCACAGTCTGTTGTGGCTCAGTCTATCTGTAATGGTGGGTTGTTGGTCCGTTTGGAATGTGCACAAGCTTATTAGTACCAAATGAGAACATCTCTAGAAGTACATAATAAAATTATAATGTTGTGCCTCAGTTGCATATAACGTTTTGCATAATGAAGTCACAAATTTCTGTTTCCTATCGTGACTCAGGCATTGAATCCATACAAGAGTTTTGTATGGGAGAGTCACATTCACCAGCAAATTTACTTCATCTTAGCAGATTTTTCTTGTCAAAAGTGAAAAAAAAAGTGAAATGTATTACACTACTACAGCATATACATGAAAAGTACTGTATGGTACTTGTACCTGGCCGCACAATCAGACATAACAAACTTATCCAATTCAGTTTGTGCTTATGGTGGTGTGCTTTACAGCTTAGAAATTCTGCTGCAGGCTTGTACTGTACATGTGAGAAGCACATACAAATTTGATTTTCTCTCTAGCAATTTATGTTTTGGAGTATTACACAGTCAGAAATGTCATGTCATGTCTCAGTGCTATCTGACTTACACATGTAGACAGAGCTACGGATCTGATTTCAGTAGCCTTTCTTAACCAGGTCACTTTTTTTTCTGATATTAACCTCTAATTTTAGTTGCTTGGTTCAGGGTTTGCTCCCTATAGCAGTAATGCCTTTTATAATATATTAGAATAAAGCTCAAAATAAACATTTTACATGTAAAAATGCTCATTGTGAATTTTTTAAACAATTTTCATGTGGGAAATGCATGCTGCTCATACAAAGCCTTTGAGTAGAAATAAAATGTGAAGTTTGTCTGAGTCATGCGGGGGGTCCAATGTCACAAAACCTAGTTTTAGTAATGGTGCAAAGCGCTATTTAAACTCATGACGTCCAAATTAGATCTGTCATAGGCCATTTCTGAGTTGTCCAGTGCCTCTGTTTCAAAGTGAAGCCAAGAGCGAAGCTTTTGATATAAAAATGATTCTAATGCTCATTTAAATAAAACTCATATTCACGAGAAAGGTTTGGTACTTGGGCCCGTTTTGAAGGTGGGGGTCATTAGAACTCAGAACTGGCCTATTGTTCTACCTACTGAGGTTGCCATTATTGTCATGGGTACATGTATATACAGTACCGCTCAAAAGTAAATTACCACCCTTTCACAAGACGCGAATCGTGTCGCGTGCTACGCGATTCCTGTTGCACGCTTCGTGATTCCTGTAGCGCGGGATGCGATTTTCGTAGTGCGCGATGGCCTAAAAACTGTAAGTAAATTTGTATCATGGCCAAAATTCTTGAGTGATTTAACGAATCAATGGTAAAGCTTTACCGTGACTGACACACGAACCAATTTTTACGTCTGCGACCTGAAGACACGCCGGTAGACTGTCGCGTATAATTTGCTTTGTGAAGGATCAGTATTTCCTTATTGATGTAAAACATACTTTTAATAAAGTTGCTTTATGTCTACTGCACCACATTGAAGAAATGTGGAAAGTTCCATTTATCATGTTGTTATTTTTGTTTTGCTTTTGCTAAGCTTGATGGCACTGACATAATCAAGGAGCTTTACAAACGCATGGACCCAACAGTAACCCAGCCTGACTGTGGAGATATCAAAGGTGATGTACAGCTGTCACTCAAGTACAACCACAGACAACAGTTGTTGCTTGTTAAAGTGATTCGAGCCAGAGATTTGGTACCCAGGGATCTGAATGGCAAGTCAGACCCTTATGTCGTCTTGGACCTTGTTCCAGACTTGTAAGTATTTCTTAGAAAACAATTTACAGAGTTTTAGTGCTTATGAAGGAGTGGATTATTGAAGGGCTAGGGTACATGTAAAACCAGCCCGAGTGACATTTTTATGTGCCATTAAATTCAATGTAAAAACATTGGCAAGTATTTTTGCCAAGTATTTCTGCATCGTCATCGTTATGTGTGTATCAGCTCAAACATCCGCATATTTTAAGGGCAACAAATTTAGTTGGCATGGTACAGCTGTAACTTTCCCTGGCAAATACAGGACAGGAAAAAACCCAAGTCCTATTGCCCATGGCAAGTAAATTTTGATCTTGGACAAGTAAAAATAGAAGTTTGGTGGTCTGTTGGGCACTTGAAATTAGCCTCAGTGGTCCCGTCAGTCTGTCTGAAAGTGTCAGCTTGGAAAGGATAATTTCCAGACAGAAACCAATATTCAAAACTGAAGACTGCAACATGAGTGACACAATTATTATTCGCTGAAAGCATGAATCTATATAAAATCCAGGTGCACATTTGCTCCCTTGTGTTACTCCTCCAGTCCAACAGTTACTCTTATCTGGCGCAGCATTTAGTTCCAGCAATCTTATCCACGTTGCTATAAACTATACATTTAACTTATTATAGACAGTACATGTACCTTAGAACTTTAGATAATAAGGCATTGTGTTCCTGTTGGGCAAGTAATTTTTAAGTAGGGGCAAGTGAAAACTGAAATTTACTTGCTCACTGGCAAAGTGGATTTCAAATTTTTTTCCTGACCTGAAATACATGAAAATTAGCCCATTATGAGCCAAATCTTTGCAGTAAAGTGCATGTAATTGCAAACTATGCAGGGGCGGATCTAGGGGGAGGGTGTAGGGGGTGCGCACCCCCCCCCCCCGAGATGACCTGCGGTTTTTTAATACAACTGGTATTCTGCAAAAAAAAAAGAAAACTATGTGGTTTATTGGTGTCGAAGTAGAGCAAGAGACGAGTGCACCCCCTCCTAAAAAAATCCTGGATCCGCCCCTGCTATGGTTTCAAAAATCAAAAAATTTAGGCCCCACTTTATATTATAGTAAATTTACAATTTATTCCTGTTCCCATTTAATTCTTTCAAGATAAAAATGCGCTCTATAAGAATTCAATATTAATATGGAGATAATGAAATACTACCTTTATTTCTTTAATATTTTTTTGTGCTCAGGAAAGGGGAAGGAAGGAAAAAGACTGCATACAAGGCCAAGACACTCAACCCTGTATTCAATGAGATCTTCTCTTTCCAACTGGAGCAGTCTCGCATAGCAGAGACAAAGCTTCGAGTGGCTGTCTGGGATCATGATTTCTTTGGTGAGGATGATTTTAATGGCGAAGGTGTGGTTGATCTTTCAAAGATTAATCTCAATACAGGCACCCATACAGACTGGTTCATCCTTCAGCTTGAGGTAATTTTAAAAAATAATAATTAATTAATTAATAAAAAAGGAAATGAGTGGGCCAGGGGACATTTTGCATATACATGTAAAAAAAGAAACTTCAAAGTAAAATCTGGGCATTATTTCAGCTGGTAATGTACAATTTCATCCACTAAATATATACCATAAACACCTCTCAATGCAGAAAAATCCTCTTAGTCACAAAGATGCCACATTTCATACAATGTTTGCTACCGTTAGTGTGTGACCGGAGTGCAGAAATGTCTTTAGACCTTTGGTGTCCATGTTGAAGGAGGTTTTTATTATACAATGTACTATTCTTGATACTCAGTATAAATGAAAGTAGGCTATTATTACATGATTGAATAATTTTCTTTTCTTATCATGTTAGACTGATTTTAGCATCAAAGGAGAGTTAGAGATTAGCCTGGAGTATGAGGAACCTGAAGCACTTTTTGTCACAGTTCACAAAGCTTATAACATCAAAGCTGGTAACACTCTGAGGAACACTTCTGATGCCTTTGTCAAGTGTGCAATATCTGGCTCAAATTTCCACCATGCAACCAAGGTGGGCTATGTGTGTAGAATGTGGCCCCTTTTACCCGACGTGTATAGTGCTAACCTCCCAGGCAGGCTTTTGTAGGGAAACTCGTATTGTTGTTCTTGGTTGACCAGGCATTTGTGGGAAGGGACGAAATATTAGCTCCCCTAAAAACATCTGCGTGGAAGGCTAGTATAGTGCAGGCTTTGACATACAGCTGTAGGCTCTGGGGGGCTGGGCTGTAGACTGCCTTGCAGGTGCCAATTAGTTTTTTGGTTACATAGTATTTGTTGAGTGGCGCAAGGGATATGCAAATGGGAGATCGAGGGAGAGGAGACTTCCTTTCCTTTTTTTCCTTGTGACCACTCATGTTCTCAAAATATTTCTCCCATTGCCCTAATTTTACTGGGGCAGAGGGGGAGGGTGTGCAAGTCAAATTCTTTCAGAATCCAGGGTATATGGCAACAGATCTACACACGGGAAATACTGAGTACTTGTTATCTTAAGCTTACATAATTTGCACACCTTATAAGGTATACATGTACAATATAATATTTGGCAGTGGGGAGTTGGGGAGAAATAATTATATTTGTTTTTCAATTACACTGTACATTAATATACATGTGTATGTGCCATTAACTTTTTATGTGATCAGGAAACAGAAAAGTGTGGCCTGTGTGTTTCCAACTTTAACTGCTGCTCTTTTGTTTTTGTCGGCCTTCACAAGTCGTTCCCATCACTAACTATAGCCTAGTATATCCGGAGGAAGATCTTGTCAGTAAACTATTGACAATTTACAGTTATGTTCAGAATGAAGTCAGTCTTCTTTGTGTCTTTGATATTCAGGTTGTAAGTGGATCACTGGATCCAGAATTTGAAGAAACATTTGAGTTTCAAGTTCCACGGGAAGAATTTTCCTCTAGGTATGTACAAAAATAAAGATTACTTCTGTGAATTGTCTTTAGAGGGGACAGTTAGAGACAGGGTTCGTCCAGTCTTGAATTCTTGAAAAAGTCTTGTTATTTGCCCAGCAATTTTCTAGACCTGGAAAAAGTCTGGAAAGTAGAGGTTAAGTCCTGAAAAATGATAAAAAGTCTTGAGGGTTTTATTTTGAAGCTACAGCAAGTGCTTTAGTTGGTTTAGTGTTCCCATTGCTGTGTTATGGATGCACGCAGGAGATCAATTATTTGTTAGTCAGTACAAAAGAAGCTTGTCAATCTTTATAGCTAGAGCACGTTCTCAACTTTGCGGATCAGACCCTAACAAAGTGTCTAATGCGTGTTACATGTGAACACACTGTTGTGTTAAGGATGCACGCCAGGGATTATTAGTTGTTAGCTGGCGCAAAGAAAGCTTATCAAACTTTATGGAGCACGCTCTCATCATTGCTGATCCTAACAGCGTCTCCAATGTATGTCACACTTGAACCTACCTGTAGTAGCACATGTAAGTGACCTTGCTTTCTGTGAGTCTTACCGAAGCCCGGTGGACCGATCTCGTAGCAGGTGTTTTGGAGATCGTAGGTTCCAATCCTGTTTAAGACTAGAGTATTTATTTTTTCAAAGTAGACGTGTTATTGAGCAACCGGGGGGTACGCTTTTCTTTCCTTATGTTGTCATTAATTTTATTCAACGTGTTTACCTTGCCAGAGCCATACTGTTTCACGTGCTCGATAAAGAATTAGTTGGAAGCAACAGCTCGTTAGGACAAGTTCACATACAACTCAAGTATCTGGACTTAGATGAGCCTATAACTAAACGCTATCCTCTGGCTGATCTTGTAAGTTCTAGTTCCGTGTCTTACCCTTCTTAAATTTACCCTTGCGATACCATAGCTGAAACAGTAGGAGACATTAGTTAGCCTGCGAAAGCATCCGTTTCTCCTCGCTCTTCGCCACTGGGGACGTTTCGTTCCTCCGCGCGAAACGTCCCCAGCGGCGAAAAGCGAGGAGAAACGGATGTTTTCGCAGGTTAGACATTAGTGAGTTACCTTACAAGAATTCTTATGAAATTATATTTGAGATCGCTCCATTGCAGTAAAACCCCGATATTAGAGAGCTTTAGATTCTGAGACGAGGACGACTACGAGTACGAGATTTTCTCAGTACTGAGTATTGCTCACGCGTGAGTGAACCAGCGTCATTTTGGCGGGAAAACGTCATAGCCGTCGTCATTCTGCTAAGAGCTTTAGCGAGAATGTCGTAGTGGCGGGAACAAGTTATCAAATGTATAAAGAAGTTTTATCAGTTTGTTATCGGGAGAGCGCTTGACCTCCTTCAGTATAAATAACTGTACTAACCTTTTTGGTGAAAAAAGTAAATTGAAGCTTTCCGGGGTGGTTTTTTAAAAACACGCCCAAAAAACTGAAGTTAAATCTCGTTCTCGTCCTCAAATCTAAAGCTCTTTATTAAGAGCACCCCGGTATAGTTAACAATTATTCCTCGAGCTCGAATGGGCTCTGAGTCAATAGGCTATTGACTCAGAGGCCATGAGGGCGAGAGGAATAATTGTTTAATAAAATCCAACTAGTTGGTCAGAAATATCGAAAATAAAAAACTTTTAGCTAGTGAAAGCTAGACTTTAATCCTTTTTTGCCGCCAAAAAGCCCGCGCTTTTCGCTACTAGTGGGCGCCAACATATAGCCTAGTAGTAGCTCAACCAATCAGAACGCAGCCTTGATAATAGACCACTAGTTGGATTTTACTAATGAATGACATTCTCTAGCCTAGCCCAGTACTCTGATATGAATGTAGTGTAACCCGCTGGAATCTTGTTCCTGAGGATCTCTCCCACTCGTTTGCCGAGGGACCAGTAGGAGAGAGAACCCTGGTCAGGAGTTGAGTCCCATACATCGCACCATTTTATTCTGTCCCTTAGTATTTCGTTATGCGGGGGATTCCCTGTATTTCTCTTAGCAAAGGAAATCATCATTGGCCCATTTAGTTTTCGAACATTACCTTTGTACCAAATTTCCAGCTTCAACTCGTCCATACTATTTGAACTGTAACGACTTTCCGTTTCTTTATTGAATGCCCCCGAAGTAAGACGGCATACCTCTAGTCAACCTTTGATGTTTTGAAATTAAGAAAGCCCGGGAAAAAGACTAGAAAAGAAAATTTCAAAATTTTAGGCTTCCCTTGCGATGTGCCCCTACGATGTTCCCCTCCCCTGCAATACCCCCTTCCCCTGGGATGCCCCCTCCCTTGCGATGCCCCCTTCCCCTGCAATGCCCCCTCCCCTGCGATCCCCCTCCCCTGTGACACCCCCCCCCCTGCGATCCCCCCCCTGTGACACCCCCTCCCCTGCTATGCCCCCCCCGGCGATGCCCCCCCTCCCCGGCGATGCCCCCCCCCCCCGGCGATGCCCCCCCTCCCCGGCGATGCCCCCCCCCCGGCGATGCCCCCAACCATGAACCCTCTAAGTTCCATTTAGACTTAAGCGGGGCAATAGTTGTCCTGGTTTTCCTGGTGTCCTAACGCTTGTTACTTTCCTTTGTTTTTGGTAGAAAAACGAGTCCTCTAAGCGAGCAGAATGGGCTCAGAATGCTGTTGCACAGGAATTCAGAGAAGCAATGTACGCACATGCGTTGTACAGACACCCTCTTTTCCTACGTGGGATTGAAACCAAGGGACGAAAGGTAGGGTGATAAACGCCTTATAATTGACAAAACCTTTATATATTTCGTATGGTGTAATACGATTCCGCGTAACTATTAGGCATGCAAATTGTCGTTTTTATCATCAAAACAATTCACGGATACTGTGAATGAAGAGAATGCAATCTGTCGGAAACATTGTTTTTATAGGTGTGTCCTTCGTGAGTTGAAACAGTGAGACATCTTGCGTGGCGCCACGCAGCTCTTTACAAGGCCTCACAGTATTGTTTTGGAGCCGCGTGTTATAGAGAAACAATGAAATTAGAGGTTTTTAAGAGCTGCGCATTAACTGCTTTTTGCGAGAGGTGTTGATCTGGGATTGTCCTACCTTTGGTAGATCTAACCATGGCCGTAGTCTATGCGAATGCTTACTTTTGAAATTGTTCAGAAATGAAGGCCAATCTTCCTACATCAGTTTCTTTAGAAACTACCCACTTTGAAGGCCCGACCGATAAATCAACGGTCCCTTTGCCCAACAACCATGGACGTACATACATGTGAAGCGCAAGAAAGTTAAAACAGTTTCATGTGGAACTAATGCGCCACTTCCTCTTCCAGTAATCCCTTAATCATCCTTATGTAATGCCAGAAGGTGTTTGAAATAGTTCCTTAAGGAACTTACCCGCCATGCTGTTGTCCCGACTTGTCCCTTGACTAACATGAAACTAATGGAAACTTAACTCCCTGCTATCTCTTAAACACCCTTCCGTCTTTGCCTCGTAGATGTATTCATTGAGCAGTCGAAGCGCTGGCTCCTCTGCTAAAGTGTTCTTGGTCAATGGTATACCCGGATAATACGTCCTAATGACGAAAAGATGCTTTTATGCTTGGACTCTTCCGCACTTACCAAAGTGACTAAGAAAGATCCCGTACGTCGCCGCCCTTTTTTTGTTGTCAGTCATCAACTATCTATAATCATTTACGTGTACGTAATCTTCAGCCTACACATTTACGAGACTGAAGTTGGCCATTCAACTTCACTGCCTATTTTTTGTAAATTGATAACATTATTTTTGTAAAATAGTCAAGGAGCGCATGTATGAAGGTTTTTTACAGGTAGATGCTCGAGTTTTGCTACGTATTTTTTGGTTTTCTGTTTGACGAAATTGGTCTACGATCTGTAGTAGTTCTTGTAGCACAGCGAATAGTTTAAGAGAGTACAAGTGAGCCTGCAATGTTCTTGTCTCTGACCACGTAAGATAAAATTCATTGAGGCTTCTACTTTACTGTAGTCATTCAAGTGTTCAGGAACATGTACCGAAAAGATAAGCACTGGTAAAATATGACCGTAAGGTCAGTATCGTACTTGTAAAATAGTCGATTAATGGATATCTACTTCAAAAATTGACCAAGCCGGAGTGTTTATCAAAGTTAATTCTACTGTTTGATAATTCATTAACTTAGTTGATTTGTGTTGAGGTTTGCATAATTAATTAATTTACAGTCAGATATAATTATGTACGTCTACTCTTCAATAGCATGAAACATTACAGGGAAAATGGAATGACCGCTTACGTTCTCACAACTACCCATTTCGTTCTCTTAATTAGTAGCTTCAAAGCAGAATGGCACTTCAAGTCAGTGTTATAGGTATTAGCAAGTGCCGTCTGTAATTATTTATTTTTACACGTACAATATATTTATCATTTTATATCATTTTTATTAAAGTTTTTTTCTTTTTAGTAACTGTGGACTTCTTTGCACGGTTTTTAAACCGTTTGTGAATTTGTTGGATGTCTGATCAAGTGTGACAGTGTGTTGTGTAGATATGTATACTAACTTACCTTATCCAAAGTTTTGACAATTTGTTTCCCAATATAATTGCGAATTACTTGAGTTACATGTCAGTGACCCGAGACCATTATGGTCCCTTGCTTCAGTTGCGTACGTTATTGCTGCGTGCCCTTAGGCGAGGAGTACAATTATCTGAAGGTGTTCGGTGGTTTCTTTGGTGCCCTGTCGCTATTTTTCGTGGAAGATTTTTAGCAACCATCTGCTCGCATCATTACACTTACAATTGTAACCTCCAGTTTCATATTATAAATCTTCTTCAAGCTCTTTCATGTTTTCAGAAATTTTAAAAATTGCATTTGTTTACTCCAGACCCTTCCTTTAACAAACTTACCGGACGTGCCGTATTGCACCAGTAAAAAGGACAATTTATTTGCAGCGCACAGGTTAGCCCGCGGGTGGAGGCATTATAATACAGGTCTGTCAACACCGCAAAATATTACTGCTCGCAATATTCAAACTGGTACACTACTTTTGCATTTCATTCCCATTCTGAAACTCTACCATGAGAAAGTAATGCCTCGGAATTTTCTTTTACTCGCGTTTATACTAAAAGCATTTCATTCACGGAAAGGTCCTTTATTTAACTGCGTTGAGCGATATTTCATTCAGTAATATATGTTCCACACGCGCTTCAATCATATCGCGCAACTTTGTTCCTTAAATAAAAGATTTGTTAACAAACAAACGGCGATGGCGTGGGAAAGTTTTTATCGAAAGGGGCGTGTTTTGGTATTAAAGTATCTATAAGATATTTTTGGTATTTTGTGTTATTTGTTTCTGTGTAGCCAAAATGATCTTCCAGTCGTCTTTTATTTGATTTATTGTTTAAATTTCAAATTCTTTTATGAAGCCGCCGCTCTATTGGCGCCAAACCTCAACGGCAGGTTGAACACACGACAAAAGAAATTTTATATGACTTTAACAGACGTGATACTTTCTGTATTTTGAAAAGTCAATTGTCCTTGGGTTAACAATCGGGACGCGATGCAGAAATACAGTAGCTAAAGACGAAAGTGTCCATTTTATAGTGGGGTTCATCAGGAAAGGCTTAAAGGAGGGGGCGTGGCCGTGTGGTCAGCGCGTCGGACTCGCATCCGATGGTTCCCGGTTCGAGTCCCGCGCTGGCCGCTTGCTGGATTTGTTCTTGGTATGTCCCAAGTTCAAATCCTCGGCCATGCTTGGAAATAGCCAACTGGTTGTCTCCTACCAGTTGGGGTCTTTAAATTGATTTATTTGTTTCTAAGCATTTCAGTGACACTCAACTTGGGTCAGACTACTCTGATACTTGTCATTCTCTTTTCCGATGTTGTTTTGTAATGGTTTTTCGGTGGAATTGTTCAAGTTCGAGGCCAACATTGAGGGGAAAGGAAAAAGGAGGTCGAGCATAACCTGTCAACGTTATTGCTTCAATTGACCCAAGTTTTAATGTCATAGATTGTAGCTGTGTAAGCTAAGTGCGCTTTCCACTATAAACAAACCTTTACTCTTTTTAAGGCTCGTGCTGTAAACTTGCATACTTGTATGCGTTTATTACGTTTATTTCACCAAAGAGTTTCCAAGACCCGGAGGTACTCTCTATAATAGGGAGCTTTAGCATCGACGACGGCGACGGCAGCGAAAAAGTCACTTTTAAAATGACTTGGCGTTTTTTCAAACTTTCTCACGCTTGTTCCAGTTCCCTGAAAATGTCAAATGTAGGCGAATTTCCCTGGAGCTGATTTCTTAGGAACCACACTCAGGTTTTGAAAGAGAAAAAAAAAGTCGTTTTCGCTTGTTTACGTCCTCCATAAAACGTGAAATTAGGCATTTTCACGCCGTAGTTGTGCAGTGACGGCAAAGAAATGTACAAAAAAGCGTGCTGCACGTGCAAAGTTGTTGTTTTGCTAATCAAACCTATTTCTTTTTTGACGTTCTCGCTGCCGTCGCCATCGTCGTTGCGAAAGCTCCCTACTGTCCTACACACGGAGGCCCCGCCCGAAAGGGGTATCTTTTTCAGGCTTCAGGTTTACGAAAGGGTAGGGTACGAGTTATCTTAGTTAATTGTAATCAGTCAACGAACAATAAACTAGGTATTCGCTGCTTCACTTTTATCTTTTAACTGGTATAACACTTGTTGATTTTTACATCCACCAATCCTATCCTTGGGACCAATCGGCCAAAACAATTTGGCCGTATTAACGGGGCAGGGTCGAATTTCATGAATCAAGGCCTGTTATGACAAATACACCATACATCGCTTTCGCACTTGTTGAACAACTGTTTTCCTTAACAAACAACCGGAATGTCGATATCGCGTACGGTAGATGTATAAACTACTTGAAACTTTCTTTCAAAAGACAAAACACGTTTAAAAACAACACATTTAAAAGACAAAACAATTTTAAAAACCGGCTATTAAACCACCATAAATACACTTAAAGCGTACTGAAGTCTAAAAACAAGACAAGAATAGGTTGAGCTTACTCGGTCAATGAAATTGAGATGTCACAGGCAATTCTTTTTTTTTTTTAAATTTCGAACGAGTGGCCGTATTAACGGCGTAAAATTTTAAAAGAGTTTACTGTTTGGGATTTTAAAATGTGGCTTTGGCGGTATTAACGGGTGACCGCATTAACGAGGTTTTTTTTTTTTATAAAAAAATGTATGGCCGTTTTGCCGGGCCGAAAAAAAGTGGCCGTAATAACAAGGTGACTGTATTACCGAGGTGGCCGTAAGGCTGGGTTTGACTGTACAAAACAAATAGTATCATATGAAGGTACCGAGGAAGAGGTTTCGTGTGAATGGTAACACCATAGGATTTCATCCACGGACTCAACACTTAGAACTACTTACAAAACAAATAGCGCCATGTGAAAAAACTGTTGAAGAGGTTTTATTGGAATGGCACACCGTAGGATTTCATCTACCGACTAAAAGTTGGAACGACGAACAAAACAAATAGTAGCATATGAAAGTACAGCTGGAGAGGATTCATTTGAATGGTCACATCATAGGATTTCATCCATAGACCAAAAAGTTAGAACAGCGTAAAAAACAAATAGTACCATGTGAAAGTACAGCTGAAGAGGTTTCATTTGAATGGTCACATAGTAGTATTTCTTCTACATACTAAAAAGTTAGAACAATGTACAAAACAAATAGTACGATATGAAAGTACTGCTGTTTCATTTGAATGGTTCTGGAAACGAACCACTCTACCAAAAGGTGTTTCTTTAAGAAGATAGGCTTCAGACAGCTCATGTAGTTTCATCCTGAATTCTTTTAGAGGACCTTTAGAAAAGCATAACACAGGTAGTTAAAACGTACGGAGTGGCGGAGATCTTGCTGCTGAAGAGGACAGCTCTGTGTTTTTGTAATATTAACTCTTAGTTGAATTTCGTATATTTAGCAATTAATGAATGAGGCTGAGTAGGATATGAAGAATTAGGCAGATCGAGGAGGGTGTTATCCACAGAGGCCGAAGACCGAGGTGGATAACACACTAGCAAAAAACAGAGCTAAAGCATGCTTACCTGCATCGATGTTAAGTTTAACTTCGATAGTGTACATTTAGGTTTGTCCAGCTCCGCAAATATTCTCCAAATAGCAGATGTCGCCCTCCGAGTTGTCTTCTTGCTGTTTTTGCTATGTTTTTAGCCATTATTTCGCCTAGTTCCAGCTGTAGTTCTTACTCTTGAAACGAGTGAAGTGTCCGCCATCTTAGTTTTCACAACGAAAACAATTCAACCTTGTCCCCAGGCCTTCTCGGTTAACGGTGCATTAACCTGTAGAAGGCTGCATTTTTGACGTCATTTCCTCGTTAAACACAAAATTCTTCCAAATTTGGTCATCAGTAACTGATTATGGTGAATTATTGGGGAAATATTTTGAATGAATAATAAAAACTGTTAGTGCTGAGCTTAAGATTTTGCCGGATGTATTTGTGTACTTTCTGTGTTTATGATTGTTCTTGCGTAACTGGCTATTTTATCTTTGCAAAGCTGTGAAATTTTCCGCCATTTTCTTGAACTCTGCACAGCGGGAACAGCTAAGCTTCCGCTCCGCTGTCTTGCGTAAATTGAATCGTGAATAATTTCGCTATTATTTTCTCTAAAAGCACACGTCTCTATAATTGTTTTTCAGTTTCTGTTTCAGTTTATTCATTGCCAGGAAAAAATGCAGCCATTGAGTACATTGCAAAAATAATGGTTGAAGGTTACTTAGGGCCTGTTTACATGGAGGTGGGGGACCCCAGGTAGGTGAGGTAACCCGCCTGTCCATACAATCTCTCATTTTAAGGTGATTACGTTTACATGTTAGGTGGGGTAACCCGCCACATGTTGCCTCACGTACCTGGGGTCCCCCACCTTCATGTAAACAGGCCCTTAAATTACACTTGTGAAACAATTAGAAGTATTTTTCTGGCGAGAAAGCTCAAATTACCGTGATATGGCGGCGAAATCGTGTTGAAAAATAACTTAGGATAAAAAGCAAGCAAAACAAAATGCTCTAAAGGGACAAAAATCAACAAAAAACAAATAATATTTACAAGTGAAGATTCAGCTAAGGACAAAAAAGGAGAGACAGCACTTTATATATTGCGATTTAGCAAATTGAAAAATTTTGGACCCTGAAATCTTATATCAAAAAGTCTTATATTTGTTCGTGCAGGAAAAAAGTACAATGTTTTGGCATTTCTGGAATTATAGGAATGACCATTTCTTTGAATACATTCTGAATGAATACATTTTGCAGGGCAGCCAACGAGAATATAGTTCAAAGCCACTTAAACATAGCATTGTTAAACGTATTTTAGTATTTAAACGGTAGATATAGGCA